CTGAGAAAGATTGAAGGCAGGAGGAGAAGGGGACAACAGAGGATGAGATGGTTGGATGGCATCACCAACTCAATGGACATGAGTTTGTGTGGACTCCAGGAGTTGGTGATGGACAGGGAGGTTTGACGTGCTGCAGTTCATGGAGTCACAAAGAGTTGGACATGACTGAGTGATTGAACTGAACTGAGAAAGAGAACAAAGTCTGGTTTCTCCTGTTCTTATAAAGATACTAACCCCATTATAGGTGCTCCACCCTCACACTCTCAGTTCAGTTCAGTCACTCAGTCGAGGCCGACTGACACCCTCATCTAAACGTTATCATTGCCCCAAGGCCTCACCTCGTGATGGGGATTATGGCTTCAACATGCATTGAAGAGACACAAAGTATTCCATCTCTATCAACTAGGAAACCCCTTTTCACCCATTACATTCAGTTTAAGAATCATATATCCTGGGAAGCCTCTCTTTTATTTAAATTTTCCTCCTGGAGATCCCCTGGAGAGGGAACTGCAAATGTTCACATCCCAGCGCAGGGTCTGCCCTATGGTATGGACTTGGTACGATAAGCTCTGCTTTAAAGAATTTAACTCTCAATACTTTTCAGTCCCCTCTGTTAAGTCCAAAGTAAACCCTTGCTTTATTTCCTTTTTTTTTCACTTTTAAGAAGTATTTACATTAGACCCATTTATTATTTGATTGTACAATTTGGTGACATTTTCCATTCATTTCTTTTCTGTTGAACTTGCTATTTCTAACTGGATGATTATTAATAGTTGATGTTGCTAGTGAAGCCCTTATAAAAGGGAATTCTATTAATTATTCATTCCCTTCACTATCTCACTCTATTGTGTTCACATCCTCCTCATCGTTGCACAGTTGGCGCCTGGCACACACGAGGCGCTCAGGGAGTGTTTCCTGAACGAATGCAAATACTTATACTGCTTTCCCAACTCACCCCTCACCTCCTTGGAAAGGCACGCTCTCTTTAGATCCCACTCTCCTGTCCTTTAAGAATCCCTGTTATGTAGCTCCCGCCTTCTTTCTTAACTCAGAAAAGGAGACAGCAGGAGCAGGAGATACTGTCCGCTCCTGATGCCTTTATACCAGGAGCTCAACTGGAGGACGGGGCGGGTGAGAGAGGAGGTGTGCAGGGGCCCGCGTGGTGCCCACCGGGCCTCCAGCCTAGGGGGCCCGCGCCGCCCCGCCCCTCGGGCGCCTCGGGGCGGAGGGCGGGGCGGGCCAGGGGGCGGGCCAGGGGGCGGGGCGGGCCGGGGGTCGGGGGGGCGGGGCTGGCCGCCGCGGCGGGGGGCGGAGCGGGGCGGGGCAGGCGTTGGAGAAAAGTGATGCTCTGCTGGCGTCAGTCGGCCCTTCACTCACGGTTAGGAGGAGACATGAGCAAAGGCAGGGGCCGGATGCGATCAGAAGATCAGGGTCATAGTGTCTGTTGCTTTCTGTGTCCATGCCTGATGGTGCGCAAGCTGTCAGTCCTAAGAGCTTTGGTGTCTCTGGTGTGGGATGATCACACCTATCCTCACTGCCTACAAGCATTTCTAAAATCAAATGAGGGCTGTAAAATCTACTGCAAATTGTTAGGACATTTGTCCAGTGTGTGGGGACTTATTACTGTTGCCATTATTTTATTACTGTACATCTTACCTCCTTCCCAGATTTACAGTGGCAATTAAACAGTCCACTTTGCTATATCCTGATACTGAATTATGCTCATTACAGATTTTTCAAGAAAAACAATAGCTAGTCCTCAAATAAGAGGACTGGCAGCACCGTTTGTCACATGCACACTTCACCCTAACTTTACCTAGTTATTGGGGTAACCGTCTGTGTTAGCTCATTAGCTTTATTTGGAAGAAGAGCAAACTTCTCATACTTTTAGGACAACTTGGAAGAAAGTGCCCACCAAAGTCCCGTTCCTGCCCTCCCATAGAAAGGAGACAGGGAGCTCTCCTAATGTCTGCATTTCAAAGAGATGATGCTCAGGTTCTTAACAAAGATGTTTCTGGCTTATTAAGGTGACAAAAAGTCTATCTAGTTTTCGGAAGGTTTTATGGCCATTGAAAAGTGAGGAGAAAGCACTTAAAATCACACTGTCTAAAGTGGGTGAGAAAAAGAGGGGAAGTAAGCTCATCCTTCATTTTCAACGGGGAGAATTAAACCTTGTATTTGTGTGCCCTCTACATGGACAACTAAGAATTCTAAAGGTGGAACAATATGCACCTCACAAAGAGTGCCCCACAGCTTATTCTGTCTCACTGGTTTGTGAATGCTCACTCACAGCGAGAGTTCAGATTTATCTCATACCCTGCACATATGTTTGCACAGTACAGTTGGCCCTTGAACAACACAGATTTGAACTGTGGGTCCACTTATATGTAGATTTTTTTTCAATCAACATATAGGAAAATATACATGTAGAAGAACATCATGTGGGTGATTTGCATTAAAGTGGATAGTCTATCTTTACACTGGCATTGAGTGAGTGATATTTAATGGAAAATTGAAAATATGTTAGTTTTCTTACTGTTTTCTAACTTTGATTTCAGAGAAATACTTTACCGTCCAGCGTGCTTTTCCTATCAGTGGAGAATCTGCATACCAGCTTGTCACAGGTAAGTGGTTTATTTTGAAAAGCAACAATGTTTTTAATAATGTATTATGGATATGACTGTAACACTGTATGACATACAATTTGATAACCATTTATTCATTAGAATATAAGCTCGGTGAATGTGAAGCAATCATATTGATTACACCAGGCGACTGTAAAGCAATTATGTTGCTGCTTCTTTGTTATAAATCCATGAATCATTTAACCTGCAAATGCATATGAATTTCTGGTTCACATTATCTTTTCAGTTTTGAAGTCTAGAGTTAGTAACATTGAGAGTATTTCATATCATATAAGACAATATTGATATATGTAATAATAGATAATCATCTTGTGAGCTGACAATATAAATTTGTTATCAATGAGCACAGTACAGTACTGTAAATATCTTTTATGGTTTTCTGAACATTTTTTATCTAGTAAGAATACAGTATATAAGACATATACTTTAAAATGTATGTGTTAATTGACTGTGTTATCAGTAAGGCTGTGAGTAGTTAAGTTTGGGGAAGTCAAAAGTTATAGGCAGATTTTCAGCTGCACTTGGGGTCAGTGTCCCTAACTGTCCTTGCTATTCAAATGTCAATTGCATTTCTTTTGTCTTCTGATTTCATGGTATGTTTTACTGCACCTGAATACTAGCACTCCTTACCTTAAGGAGGCTGGGGGAAGCTGCAGTGAGACTTCATTTGACTGAAATAGTCCAAGTCTGAAAACTCATCGTGAAAGCAAAAAGGGCTAGAAAGGGTGGGGATGTTTCTGAACCTGGAGCTTGTCTGGCCTTTGGCCTTGAGGACTGGCAACAGAGCTGATGGTGGTCAGAATCGCACTGTAACTTGATAATGTTTCAGCATTTCAGTCTCAGCATCTTGGAAGTCCCAGGACATGTAGGTGCTCTCTACACCTTGGCTGCCTTGATGAAGAGTTGGGTTGTGTAGAGACAGAAGCACCCTGGCCGTATGTAGAGAGGGATGAGTGTCATATCAGGGTCAGTGGCTGCTTCTGAAGATCCCCCAGATAATTAACCACATGGATACCGATGTCTCAGCATTTCCCTCTTGTCTCTGCCAGCCCTCTTAGGAATATCTGAAAAGCACTTTTAACACGGACTTAAGTTTAATGAACATAAAGCAATAATAATTAATCTGGCAAAGCTTCCTTTTGATATTCTGCCAAATTCTAGAACTTCTGCTACACCAGTTCAATTCACTCAGTTGTGTCCGACTCTTTGTGATGCCATGGACTGCAGCACATCAGGCCTCCCTGTCCATTGCCAACTCCCAGAGTTTACTCAAACTCATGTCCATTGAGTCAGTGATGCCATCCAACCATCTTGTCCTCTGATGTACCCTTCTCCTGCCTTCAATCTTTCCCAGCATTAGGATCTCTTCAAATGAGTCAGCTCTTCACATCAGGTGGCCAAAGGATTGGAGTTTCAGCTTCAGCATCAGTCCTTCCAATGAATATTCAGCACTGATTTCCTTTAGGATGGACTAGTTGGATCTCTTTGCTGTCCAAGGGACTCTCAAGAGTCTTCTCCATCACCACAGTTCAAAAGCATCAATTCTTTGGCGCTCAGCTTTCTTTCTAGTCCAACTCTCACATCCATACATGACTATTGGAAAAACAATAGCTTTGACTAGATGGACCTTTGTTGGCAAAGTAATGTCTCTGCTTTTTAATATGCTGTCTATGTTGGTCATAGCTTTTATTAATATGCTGTCTAGGTTGGTCATAGCTTTTCTTCCAAGCAGTAAGCATCTTTTAATTTCATGGCTGCAATCACCATCTGCAGTGATTTTGGAGCCCCCCCAAAGAAAGTCTCTCACTGTTTACTCTGTTTCCCCATCTATTTGCCGTGAAGTGATGGGACTGGATGCCACATACCTCTGGTGTATAATGGCTGAAAAAGTGAGGCCTCTTTTTTTCCTACCCTCACCAAGCAAAGGCTTGCTTTCCTGATCGTTGGGTTTGTTTTTCCAAATCTCTGGGGTGGATAAGTTTTGCTGCCGGTAGGTATACATCACGACACCACTGGGGCCATCAGGAGTGCATAGCTTGTTTCCTATCGCTTATGGTCACCAGCATCTTTTTCATGTTTGTGGTGCCCCTACTCCCAGGAATCGTCCGAGTTTCTCTCGTCGGTTCTCTGACAGCCAGTCTGCTCTCCGTGACACATCTCTGTCACAGCCATGCACACGTTACATGCGTTTTACTTGTACCTGTGTTTAGAGTAACAGTCACCTAGAGGTAACCCTGCTATAGAATGATACTGTAAGTCAGCAGTTTCCTCCTTCCTCAAGAAACCCTAAAATATCTAGTCACGTTTTCCTAGTTTCAACCCCAGGATGTTGGTAATTAATCTCATTATTAATAGCAATCGTGAAGAAGGCAGTGATTCTCCGCTTTTTGGAGACACAGTCTCTTTTGGGCTATTGGGAAGGACGAATCCCGGAAGGACAAGGGGAGCCCCCTTTTAATACGAGGAGAGTGCAGTTTGTCCCACCCACCCTGACGGTGTGCAAAGACAGACAGCAGCCGGGTTTTGAACATTCAGACAGTGGGTTGTTTGGCGTCAGCATGAACATGCGGATGACGGCCTGCACCGTGAAAGCCCTGGACCTCCCCGTCCTGAGGATCCGTCTGGTGCCCTGGCCTCTGCTCTCCGCATCGCGGAGGGCTCTCTGCTGCCGCCTCCTGGTGAGTGAAGGCATGGCGGCGGTTAGGACCCAGCAGGGACGTTTGGGTAAACCGGGTAATTTAATCTTGGGTGAATTAATGCGTGGGGCCTCAATTTCTTCTTTTATAAATGGCAAGTCGGATTGATTATAAGAGTCTGTAAATATAGAGCTGTCTAATTGGCAAGAAACATGCTCTGCACTCTGTGAATAACTTTGCATGAAGCCTTGCTTTTTTGGCTTTTTGAAGCCAAAAGCATCTGTGAAGCTTCCATTTTGACTTCCAGTGTACTTCCTGACTCACAGGATTAGGTGATTTATAAGGAATTCCATGTCATCCCTAAGAGTTAATGCACCCTTATAGTCTTCCTGTCCCAGGGCTTAGGGTGACCTTCTTCTTTTTTTTTTTTTTTCAGACACAGTAAGGGCACCCTTCATGAGGATAATTGAAAGCTTTTGCCCTCAACCAACAAAACAGGCTTTAATCAAAAAGTTGAATGCAGAGCTTCCTTCTCCAAAGGTGAATAAATCAGGCCCAACCCGATATGTGGAGAGGGAAGATCACAGTGGAAATTACCTCTGCTGCTCCCTGGAAGAGCAAATTGTTTTATTGACTTTGTTTCAACCTAGTTCTTGTTCTGCCTTGTAGGGGCTTTTCTTATTTGCATTTTTTAAAAAGATGGGGTTTGATGGTCTATGAGGAAGGAGGCAAAGACCTTTGACAAACACAGCTTCTGTCTTGCTGGAGGCAGAGCTTATTTCTGACATTGTACTTTTGAATTACAGTGAAGGCTTACACGGCCTTCCAAGCCAAAGCCAGCTACAGCCTTTCAGAAAGCAGGCAAGGGTGCAGGCAAGAAGAATGGGCATCTGTCTTCCCGAAGACAGGAGCCTGAGGTGCTTGCATCAGGAGGACTGCTCGAGCGCCGTCTGTTCCTGTCCAGGTTTTAGCTTTTGGGGGGACCAGAAGAGACAGTGAGTCCCTCTCGTGAGAAGTTTTGAGGGACACACAGGACCTGGAAAAAGCTCTTTTTACAACTTAATCGCCCCAAGCAGCAGTGCTTTGCCTGGTGGTTATGTAAGATGTAAGGAGTCTCAGAGTCGAAAGGAACTGCATTATTCAGCTGCTTTCATTTACTCTGAAGACACCCGACTATATAGGTTATGCATGAATTTCTCCCATTGCAGGAATAAAGCACAGTAACCAAAAGTCATCAATGTTTTATAAACTGTGACTAATCTCTTACATAGTCTCAGTCTGTCTCTTCAGAATTGTTTCTATTGGCTGATATTTAGTTGCTATTTTATGGTACTATTATTTTTTTAAAAAACCACTTGAGACTGGCCAACTGTGGGGTTCAGGACTGATGGGGTTGTTAGGAGAGCCTGCTCGCCCAAGCCTTTCAATTGCTTTGAAATATTTGGCTGGAAAATGGCACCAGAGAAATCGGAAGCTCTGCCTTCCAGAAGCGGCAGCGTGGTGCGTTTCCAGGGTCCTCTTGGCATCTGCTGAGCTGTTACCACCCAAAACAATGGGGGCTCATCCGCGCTCAGCAAACCACGACCCCGGACGTGGCCAGGGCAAACCTAGCCAGCGCGTGTTTGTTTACTCATGCATCATTTAGTACAGAGATGACTCTGGGATGTTTTGGCAAATTAATTTGTATTGCACTTCCGAGAAGGGAGTGAGCAGCTGGGCTCCAGCCCGTGGAGCTGCCCGGCTCTGTCTGCTGATAAAGTGGCTGCTGCCGCGGCCTCCTGTGAAAGTGCAAACCAAACCGCCAGGCATGGGGACTTCTGGCCGCTCCCCTCCAGGTCTGGGTGGGATCCGTCGGCCTGCTCGTGGTTCCAAGCGTTCCTGTTGCGCTTTGTCAGCAACTTCAGGGCAGCAACCAAGCCACCATTTCCAAAAGATTCTTTCATTCCCTACAGTTTGACAATCAGCCACAATGCCACTGTCTTTGAAGTTTGATTACATCTGTCCTCCTGGATATTTGTACCATTCATGTGTAACTTGCTTCCTCATCCCTGTGTGATATGTGGTATAACCATCATGCAAGATTTTACATGGCCTAGGTATTTCCTAGGTGTTGATTTAAAAAAATGACAAATCTGCTCTTCTAAGGACACGTCACCTGGGAAGGAAGGAGAGGGAGCCACGTGGTAATATGCATATAAGCGCATTCGGAATCCTTCCCAGCATTCCTCATTCTAACAGCCTCTCCACCAATGGCTGCTGTTTTTCTCCAAACTTGTCTCATTAAATCTCATCTCCCAGCTGACCCATGCCCCAGTGGCCAGCACACATGAGCCGCTAGTATTTAGTTCTTCTAAACCATTTCCCCCTCTTTGTCAGGCTGCCATTCAATACTTTAAAGAAAACTGGGCATGTGTACTTTTGATGGAAAACTTCTTTTCTTTGAATTTTTTTTCCATTTCTGCCTTTTAACCACTGCTGCAGTTCTGTAGGACCCATCCTATTCCTCCGCTTGGAGGGCAGAGGAGAGGGAGAAGCCACAAAACTTTCTTTAGCAGGAGAAAAGAAAGGCTGGGGGTACACATATTTCAGTAAGTTTTGAATGGCAACAGTCTTGTCTCTAGGTAGACATGATCTCATTCCACAAATCCGTAAGAAAAGCATCCTGCTTTCTGCCTCTCAGAGGAGCTCCAGGGTGTCGGCGGTGGTGGAGGCCTGGGGTTAGTTTCGGGTATTTTGTAATGGAAATGTGTCTCCCCGGACCTTGCACAATTGAGGTTAACAAAGACATTTAGAAAGAATAAAGTCTTTTCATATCATTTAATGCTAAAATATAATTTTTAAATATTTTGAATGATAAATACTTCTATGACTCTCCTCATGTGAAAGAGTTTAGCATTTTAATTTATATGTCAAGCCCGTGTGTTTGGTTACTTGGTGGCTAAGTGTTTTCAAGGATCCTATGGTCATTGGAAGGGCGGACAGGCAGGTGTTTCCTGGCATGAGTCGTCCCGGGCACTTTTGCGATGATGATGAGAGCTGATCTGTATGGAGAAGCTGATCTGTGCTAGGTATGTTTGGGAACTTTGTGTGTATCAGTATCCATAATGACCTCGTTCGTGGGAACTCTGATTTCCATTCTTCGCATGAGGAGGCAGAAGCACAGTGATGCTGACTGATAAGACGGGCTCGGGGCCAAGTCGCCTGTGTGTGCCGAGCACAGCCGGTGCCTGGCCGTGTCGCCTTTAATAATCGGCCAAAGAGCGCTTAGCCCGGGGCTGCCTTCGGTGGGCCGTCAGCCAGCTCGCCACCTCTGCTCAACATTTATCTCTATTAGAAACCCAGATTGGAAGGTTGCCACTGGCTTCTGATGTCAGATAGTGTGGCGTGCAGAGACACATTAATAAATGAGGCTAGGAGATAGAATCGCAGCTTTTGGCCTATCTGCAGCAGACAGACTACGGAGCTGAGGACACCCAGCTTCTGAATGAATTAAAGGCGTTTCTATAGAACTAGCAGTTTTCAAATCCAAGCGTCTGCTCTTCCGTGCCCAGTACTGTGCTAGGCAGACGTAATAGAAAACACAAAAGAAGCAGAAAAAGCCTCTTGTCTGTTGTAGCACGACCTGCAGCTTTGTCGGGGAGATAGGACAGCACGCTGGCAGTCACAGGACGCGGGCACATGTGAGCGCAGCTCAAGGTGCGCTGCGCAGATAACGGGCGCGGGGGGCTTTGTACCGCACAAAGGAGATGGCATCTCACCCACGGGAAGCACGCGGCTGCGCCAACAGCAGCATCACCCATGGGCCCCGGGGAATGGAAACTGCCACCCTATGTTTACCGTCTCCACAGCCCCGGGTTAGGCATTGGCCCGCGACCCTGCTCTGCTTCGACTGTTGACTCACAGGTGAGCAGGTGAGGGCTGAATCTGCTGAAAGGTACAGGCTGACCCCTGCACGTGTCTGCCACTTGCTGGAAGCTTCGGGCTTTTGCTCCTCACTGGCCCTGAAATGTCCAGGGACAAGGCATGGCCCTAAGGCTCACTCAGTGCAGAAACAGAAGTTACTGTCGCGTGTCAGCTTCTCCGCTACCTCTCTAAGGATAATTCAGATTCTCAGAAGGCAAAGCACAGAACTTGGTGTAGGGAAATCTGAGTTACAATACCAGCTCTCTCCTTAATTTATACCGAGGCGGAATAAAAGTCAACTTACTTTCCTTGGCTTCAACTTCTCATTTGTGAATGAGGAACTGGCTACATCTGTTGTTCATAAGCTGCTCCCTGGAGGTCTGCGGTTCCTTCCTCAGGGTCACGGGGGGTGTTCTGGAAGAGTGGTTCTCAACAAGGGCAGTTTCCTGCCCCTCAATCCCAGAGGACGTTTTGGTTTTGTCTGAGGAATGTGTTTGCTACTGGCATCTATATGGTGGGTAGAGACCAAAGGTGCTGCTAAACACTCTACTGTGTAAGAGATAGCTCCCATAACCAAGAATCATGTGTCTCCAATGCCAACCGCACCCAGGCTGAGAAAGCTTGCCATTTATGTATGAGCCTGAACCTCTAACCCAATGACACCAAAGGAACTTTTTATTGGTATCCAATAACACCATTTTTACTGGATGTAGCAGACTTAAATTTGACAGGTGATAAAGAAATGTGCAAATTTTGATATTCTTATTTCAATTTCAATTTCTTATTTCAATTACAAGCTTATTGTAATTGAGCTTAAATTGTATCTTCTTCCCCCACACTGGTTCTCAGCTGATTCAGAGTTTTCACTAAGGTATTTCAAGGTTCTGCTCCTTTCTGTCCTTCTCTTCCACTCTGAATCCACCTCTGGGCTTGAAACACATGCTAGAATTAGAAGTGGGTATCTAGTTCATTGCCGCCGCCGGTCCTACACTCTTGTCTACAGCCACTTTTCAGACTCCACATATGCGTGAGATCAGATAGTATTTGTCTTTCTCTATCTGACTTATTTCACTAAGTGTAATATTCTCAAGATCCATCCACATTGCTGCAAATGGCAGTATTTTAAGATCTGATTTGCTTGGAGATGTTCCCAGTGGACCTGAGAGGCAGGTACAGAGGATTCCCTGGACTGCCTCCCTCTGCACGCACGCCCTCTGCTCTTACAGACCCTCCACCAGAGCGGGGCGTTTGTTCAACGCCGTGAGCCTTCACTGACACAGCTTCGTCACCCGAAGTCTGGAGTTTTCCTTAGGGTTTGCTCTTGCTGCATATTTTGGGTCTGGACAAGCGCACAGTGACATGGACCTATGATCATGGTGTCATGCAGAGTGTTTTCACTGCCCACCGCGCCCTCTGTGTCCCACCCGGTCATCCCTCCCTCCCTGAGAACCCCTGGCAACCACTGATCTTTGCATGGTCGCTGTAGGTTTGCCTTTCCCAGAGTGTCATATGGCGTGTAACCTTTTCAGATTGGCTTCTTTCACTAAGTAACATGTCTTCTCCATGTCTTTTCATGGCCTGATAGCTCAGTTCTTTTTAGCGCTGAATGGTGAAGAACCCACATGGCAGTGCAGGAGGCATAAGAGATGCAGGTTTGGTCCCTGGGTCAGGAAGATCCCCTGGAGGGGGGCATGGCCACCCACTCTAGTGTTCGGGCCTGCAGAGTCCCATGGACAGAGGAGCCTGGTGGGCTGTGGTTCATAGGGTCACGAAGAGGTGGGCGCGTGGTCTGTATTTATCTGGTCGTCTGCTGCAGGATATCTTCACTGCTTCCAAGTTGGCAGTTGTGAGTAAGGTTGCTCTGCACATCTGGGTACAGGTTTTCGTGTGAACTCGAGTCAACCCTAGCCACTAGTGCTTCTCTGTGCTGCCCTCCCCTGACCCGCCGGAGCCCCCGAGGCCCCGCAGCGTCCGCAGGGGCGTGCTGCAGTCACCACTGGAGCTCACACTTTGGTTCACTTCCTCACCTGCTTGTGTTCCCTGTTGAGGTTCACTGGAAATTTTTGCTCTTGCTTCCTGACCCCTCTGGGGTATGGAGCCTCAGGCTGGGACTCTCAGACACTCTCTACCTACACCTGCCCTGCCAGCACTTCTGTTCACAGCTGTGGTTCCCACGACAGAGGGGGAGCCTTTTCTGTTAGTCTTTTTGCCTCTCCTAAGGGGGATCTGAGAAGTGGGTACATTTCTCTCTGGCTCTGAGGCCACCCCCTTAAACCTACCTAGACTTTTCTTTGGCAAAGACTCCCACCAGCAACTCACTCTACGGTTGTCCCCTGGACTAGCCATGTCTCCTCCCAGCTGGTTGAAATTTACTTCCTTTTATGAGCGGAAAATGACGTCTATGTAATCTGGCATTGTTTTTCTGACCTTACTGTATATATATAGTATGAAATTAATGCTCTTACTTTTATCAAAGCTGCCATTTCAATACACGCTTTTTTTCTTTCAAAATCTTTTCTCTTAAAATAGAAAAGTTGTCATTTAAGCTAATGACTCTGCCATGAATTTCAAAACCCTAAGTGTAAGAATCGGCTTCTTTGTAACCCAGTGGTGTCTGGCTTCCTCTAATGACATGGAATGCCACGGATTCAGTAGGCAGTGGGTTTCAGGATTAATAGTTATAATTTTAGTGCGCTTTAAAATTGTGATCTGCTGCTTAAAAGATAGGAGAAGGAAAGAAAGGAGGAAGGAAGGGAAGAGTAACGAAGGGTGAAAGCCCTGAGCTGGCGGTCTCGATTCTTCTTCTCCCACCGTGAGGTGATCTGCACATGAGGAAGGCCGGGAGCACTGTCCACGCCTGGCGCTCTCCTGCTGTGACGTGTAACATCGCACCAGAGGGGCCGGGGGAAGAAAGGCCTCTGCAGTTCACATAGGGAAGCAAGGATATCCACAAGCAATTGTCTCCTTTTAGATTCATGTCAACAGGAAAACAGGGTTGGATAATTGGAAATATTTTACATGGACACTGGCTAAATGCTATTCATTTATTATGCCAGTCTACAGTACCAGCACTCAATATGTCAGCAAATTTGGAAAACTCAGCAGTGGCAAAGTAGAAAAGGTCAGTTTTCATTCCAATCCCAAAGAAAGGCAATGCCAAAGAATGCTCAAACTACCGCAAAATTGCACTCCTCTCACATGCTAGTAAAGTAATGCTCAAAACTCTCTAAGCCAGGCTTCAATAGTACATGAATCATGAACTTCCAGATGTTCAAGCTGGTTTTAGAAAAGGCAGAGGAGCCATAGATCAAATTGCCAACATCTGTTGGATCATAGAAAAAGCAAGAGAGTTCCAGAAAAACATCTATTTATGCTTTATTGACTATGCCTAAGCCTTTCACTGTGTATCACAATAAACTGTGGAAAATTCTGAAGGACATGGGAATACCAGACCACCTGACCTGCTTCCTGAGAAATCTGTATGCAGGTCAGGAAGCAACAGTGGGAACTGGACATGGAACAACAGACTGGTTGCAAATAGGAAAGGAGTACGCCAAGGCTATATATTGTCACCCTGCTTGTTTAACCTTCATGCAGAGTCAGTTCAGTTCAGTGGCTCAGTTGTGTCTGACTCTTTGCAACCCTATGAATAGCAGCATACCAGGCCTCCCTGTCCATCACCAACTCCCGGAGTTCACCCAAACCCATGTCCATTGAGTCAGTGATGCCATCCAACCATCTCATCTTCTGTTGTCCCCTTCTCCTCCTGCCCCCAATCCTTCCCAGCATTAGGGTCTTTTCCAATGAGTCAACTCTTCGCATGAGGTGGCCAAAGTATTGGAGTTTCAGCTTCAGCATCAGTCCTTCCAATGAAACCTAGGACTGATCACTATTAGGATGGACTGGTTGGATCTTTCTGCAATCCAAGGGACTCTCAAGAGTCTTCTCCCACGCCACAGTTCAAAAGCATCAATTCTTTGGTGATCAGCTTTCTTCACCATCCAACGCTCACATCCATACATGACCACTGGAAAAACCATAGCCTTGACTAGAATGGACCTTTGTTGCCAAAGTAATGTCTCTGCTTTTAAACATGCTCTCTAGGTTGGTCGTAACTTTCCTTCCAAGGAGTAGGTGTCTTTTAATTTCATGGCTGCAATCACCATCTCCAGTGATTTTGGAGCCCAGAAAAATAATGTATGACACTGTTTCTACTGTTTCCCCATCTATTTCCCATGAAGTGATGGGACCAGATGCCATGATCTTAGTTTTCTGAATGTTGAGCTTTAAGCCAACTTTTCCACTTTCCTCCTTCACTTTCATCAAGAGGCTTTTTAGTTCCTCTTCACTTTCTGCCATAAGGGTGGTGTCATCTGCATATCTGAGGCTATTGATATTTCTCCTGGCAATCTTGATTCCAGCTTGCTCCTTCCAGTCCAGCATTTCTCATGATGTACTCTGCATGTAAGTTAAATAAGCTGAGTGACAATATACAGCCTTGACGTACTCCTTTTCCTATGTGGAACCAGTCTGTTGTTCCATGTCCAGTTCTAACTGTTGCTTACTGACCTGCACACAGATTTCTCAAGAGGCAGGTCAGGTGGTCTGGTATTCCCATCTCTTCCAGAAATTTCTACAGTTTATCATGATCCACACAGTCAAAGGCTTTGGCATAGTGAATAAAGCATAAATAGATGTTTTTCTGGAATTTTCTTGCTTTTTCTATGAACCAGTGGATGTTGGCAATTGATCTCTGGTTCCTCTGCCTTTTCTAAAACCAGGTTGAACATCTGGAATTTCACAGCTCACACATTGCTGAAGCCTGGCTTGGAGAATTTTGAGCATTACTTTACTAACATGTGAGATGAGTGCAATTGTTCAGTAGTTTGAGCATTCTTTAGCATTGCCTTTCTTTCAAATTGGAATGAAAACGGACCTTTTCCAGCCCTGTGGCCACTGCTGAGTTTTCCAAATTTGCTGGCATATTGAGTGCAGCACTTTCACAGCATCATCTTTGAGGATTTGAAATAGCTCAACTGGAATTCTATCACCTCCACTAGCTTTGTCTGTAGTGATGCTTTCTAAGACCCACTTGACTTCACATTTGAGGATGTCTGACTGTAGGTGAGTGATCACACCATTGTGATTATCTGAGTCATGAAGATCTTTTTTGTACAGTTCTTCTGTGTATTCTTGCTACCTCTTCTTAATATCTTCTGTTTCTGTTATGTCCATACCACTTCTGTCCTTTATCAACCCCATCTTTGCATGAAATGTTCCCTTGGTATCTCTAATTTTCTTAAAGAGATCTCTAATCTTTCCCATTCTGTTTTTTTCCTCTATTTCTTTGCATTGGTCACCGAGGAAGGCTTTTTATCTCTCCTTGCTATATGATGTACTCTCATGCAGAGTACATCATGAGAAATGCTGGGCTGGATGAAGCACAAGCTGGAATCAAGACTTCCAGGAGAAATTTCAATAACCTCAGATACACGGATGACACCACTCTTATGGCTGAAAGCAAAGAAGAACTAAAGAGCCTCGTGATGAAAGTGAAAGAGGAGAGTGAAAAAGCTGACTTAAAACTCAACATTCAGAAAATTAAGATCATAGCATCAGGTCCCATCACTTCATGGCAAATAAATGGGGACACAATGGAAACAGTGAGAGACTGTATTTTCTCAGGCTCCAAAATCCTTGCAGATGGTGACTGAAGTCATGAAATTAAAAGATGCTTGCTCCTTGGAAGAAAAACTAAGACCAACCTAGACAACATATTAATAAGCAGAGACATTACTTTGTCAACAAAAGCCTATCTAGTCAAAGCTATGGTTTTTCCAGTAGTCATGTATGGATGTGAGAGTTGGACCATAAAGCAAGCTGAGTGCCGAAAAATGGATGCTTTTGAACTGTGATGTTGGAGAACACTCTTGAGAGTCCCTTGGACTGCAAGGAGATCCAGCCAGTCCATCCTAAAGGAAATCAGTCCCAGATTTTCATTAGACGGACTGATGTTGAAGCTGAAACTCCCAATACTTTGGCCACCTGATGCGAAGAGCTGACTCATTTGAAGAGACCCTGATGCTGGGAAAGATTGAAGGCGGGAGGAGAAGGGGACGACAGAGGATGAGATGGTTGGATGGCATCACTACTCGATGGACATGAATTTGAACAAACTCCAGAAGTTGATGATGGACAGGGAGGCCTGGCATGCTGCGGTCCATGGGGTCAGAGTCCGACACGACTGAGTGACTGAACTGAGAGTAGCAGAGTGTCTCTGAACACCTAGAAATTCTCCAAAGAGATAGAAACAATGTTTCCTGAATGGGAAACATCATCTTTACCCCCAGTTCAGGGATTGGGAAATTGTTTGCTTGTTCTCTTTCTCTCTTTCTCTTTCCCTGAACCTCTCTTTTTACTATCTATCTATCTAGTCTTTAGTATAGACAATAATTTATCCTCTTTTATTTAGGAGACTAAAATTTAAATCCCTAGTGGCAGGGCAAAGATTTATTTGAGAAACACTGCATGTCATTCATTCATTCAAAGAATATTGATTGAATGCATAGTCTGTGGATAAACCCATTGGCCTGGTCTCGAATCCAGAAGGGGGGCATGGCGGCCCCCTCCAGCGCTCTTGCCTGGCGAATGCCGCGGACAGAGGAGCCTGGCGGTCACAGTACACGGGGCCACAAGAGCCGGACAGGACTGCGCGACTCAGCGCGGCCCCTGGAAGACCAGATCCTTGCCCCGCTTGGGTCAGTGGCTTGTGATGTGATTGCAGAAGAGTCGCTTCATCTTTATATGGCTCAGTTACTTCATGGGTAACACTGAGGGCCCTTTCTACACTTCTGCTTTAATGGTTAGAAATATATATCTGTTTCTCCCAGGGCATATACAGTGTTTTAGAATCTAATGTGTATGTAAATGTAAGGCATATTTTTAATGCTTGAAACTGTCTATGATTAAATACTCAAACAGTTCTGTTTCACTGTTATTTTCCTTTTTCAGCAAGCATTCTCTGATAAACTGCACAGCAAATAGAAATTACTGATCTAATGAATGTAAACCACTGGCAACCCAAGAACTAAAATCCATTTTGATTACAAATAAACCTTCTGTATTTCAGATAAATTTACTATACCATGTAAATTTTTATTCAAAGCAATCTGACAAATGAGTCGCTTCAGCTGAAAACAAGGTAAAGCCAATCTATTATTCCTTTTCTTTCCATTTAATTCTGTGGGTTTGGACAAAATTTAATCAATGCAGGGTCATGTTGAAAGCTAACACATTTATCTGATGGGTCAGCTTTCTGATTAAAGAAGGAGCATTGAACTTTCCGTCAGGACAACATTCTGGGAAATGTAGCTTTTCTGTCATGTTGCATCTGCTATTGGAGTCATTTATTATGAAATCCATTCATTTAAAGGAAGGTGTAGGTGATTAGATTTCAACTCAAAGCTTTGCTGTCTGGTGGGAACTAACATTTTAAATTAAGGGGACTTTTGAAAGGACACATTTATATGGGGGTTACTACAGGGTCCCAAAGGGGAAAAAACCTGCCATCACTAAACCTCCTGGCATGCTTCCAAAATGCTTCCCTGGAAGTTCTCTGTTCATGTTAATGCCCATATTTCTACCTCTTCTTGTCAGTTGGACTATCCTGCTATTCATGTTGAATGAGAAGTCTTTGGGTTCACATGTTCACATTGACCTTTGAATTACAGTAACTTTTAACTCTGCTCTCAGCTGAGTGAGTAACTAACTTTTCCTAAAGTTCTAGTTTAAGGTAAGACTTTCCTTGCATTCTAGTCTCCAGACTGGATATGCACCCATAGTTAAAGTATACTTGTTCACCCATGGATGAGAGGCAGAAAGGGTAAAGGAGTGCAGGACCAAGCTTGCTAGAGATCCCATTCCTGCCTTTCCCTTCTTCTGACAGATTGTTGTAATTCTGGTCCCACTGCTGGCTCTGCATCGGGTGGTTACGGAATGCTGGATAAAGCGTTCACTTACCCTCTCTTCCATCGCCAAGGTGTTTGATGAAGATGGTGATGGGCTGAAGCAGTTTCTGTGGCTGTTAGTCAGCATATATTAAAAGACTGGCTTAGTACTTTCTGCAAACACAGATAAACCAGGACATTTGTCCTTTAAAAATTCACATGGCTTTAAGATGAGTAGATATATAAAACAACTCTGTTGCGTCCCACTGTCACCTGGAATCTCATTTACAGGAGATAGTGTTATGGTCTTTCTGTTACTGCAGATTCAATAGGTCCCTATCCTCTCGCTGCTGTGTACTCCGTAGACAGACGCTCTGCTTCCCATATTCTGTCCGTAAGGAGATCTCTTAATGTTCCAGTATGGAAAGCGAACACAGTCTGGAGTTGTCTTTTGAACTAGTAAGATCAGGTCTACAGAAGAATCTGACTGCAATTGTTTCTTCTAAATGTTCATTTATTCAGAAGAAGCACAGAAGGGAGTTTACGGGTCATTTGACGCTTATCAGGATCTGCTTAATAAAGAGAGGCAGTTGGAGCTGCCTGTTTTCAATGTGCAGAAGGAAATGAATAAGAGACGGAGATAATCACAGCGCCCATGGACGGCATCTTGCAATGCAGGTAAGACTGTCTCCCGCTGGAGTTCACGCAGCCAGAGAGACTCAGCCGCTGACTGTTTGTGCTTTTGTGCAGACGCCTGGCACGGGGCAGCAAAACGGGGAGGTATCAAAGCAGCATCCACCCCCACAGGTCAGGGGAGTCGAACACGCCGTATTTAAGTAGCACCTGGCCCCAGGGACCTCACGGGCCGACACGCAGCGCTGCTCCCTGATTACATTTCTCAGGCTCCTACAGTGACTGGGTGACCGCTGTCGAATCCCGCGGTTGCCGCGGGCTTCGCGCTTGGAAATCCAGCCCCACGTTTGAACTCCAAGTGCGGGGCTACCTGATGAATTAAGGGCAAAGGGGCTTGGACTGGCCATCAGAAAAGGGCTCTGTCTCCAGGGCACCATTAGGTGTAAAACTCGGTTCAATAATAGAGTAGTCATGGCTGATAATATTTTTTAAAATGACTAGGCATTATCGATTCTTACTAAGAAATAAAGTAAGAGACCAGTTATCAAGAGAAAGATGGTCTGAACCGTTGATCCAGTCTGACCACCATGCATTTCCTGTGTGTTGCTGACTCATCACGACACAGTACGAGAACTATGTGTCTTTAAATCTTTATTATACCACAGCTCTGCTTGTGTGAGAAAGCCGTAACAGAGTCAGGAGAAATTTGTGGTCCAGGGAGCATCAGACACGTCCAGGCGCTCTGGGAACTGGCAGACCTCCCAGTGGAGCGATTTAACACGTTTATTGAGGGCAGTGGAATACACCTCTATATCAAAGGGATGTATATGCGGTCTTTCTCAGTGCATTTTCTGGATGCGAATATTGATGTTTTCCCTGATTGCACTATGAAGTATATAGGGTCCTCTGAACTCAGAAAAAGCATGCCCGTGATTTCCACATAGCAGTAATGCCTCCCATTTAGACAGCTATCTACAAGAAGCCAAAGGTGTTGAAAACGGGCCCTCCTACCTGCCCTTCCTCTTGCTGTCTCTGGTACGTGAGCCGAGGGCAGTGATTGCTTCTCCTCTGTCATCGGCCTGGCCTGTTGCTTACAGGTAGGATGGTAATCATCTCACTTTCATATGTGAGAAATGCCAACAAAATCTTCACGATCAAACCCAGGTGGGACACTGATTACCATATTAATAACTTGTTAATGTGTTGTCATCACCATCAGAGGGAAGGGGAGAAGTGAGCACCTTTGGGTCATCAAGATAAATGTAGGGACGTTTCAGTGCCCTTCCTTCCACACTCAGAGTGAATGCACACACGATGGGCCCAAGCCGTTGCACTGCGGGCCGCTGGCTGCTGGGACTCTTGCCTGGGGTCCAGTGTGCAGTGGAAACCCCTGCGTCCCTGGTGGCTGCACTCCCCGCGGGGGCCAAGCGGACTCGTCCACTTAAACTGCTCTCCTCCTACAGTAGGGCGACCGACAGGCCGATGCTGATTGGCCCCAAATCCACTGCCAGTGACTCCGTGTGCACTTTTGCCGGGTTTCCCCAAGTCTGGAGACGAGGCACAGCTTTCAGGGGTGTGTGGATGGGGCTTAGATCTCTGGGTTCTGTGCCCCGGGTCTGCTTGCTCATTCCTCACCATGTGATGAGTAGGAGAATGGAGGTAGGTGCCCTGGGAGCTGGGGGCCTCTCTCTAGCAGTGACCTGCACCCTGCAAAGACCAGGCGTAGGTCTGTGCAGATATGTGCCAAACAGTATCCTCACCACCACTGTTTCTACCTGTACCTCCCCGTAGTGAATACCAAGCTTCTGGCCCTAGGAATGAAGTTTGACTTTTTCTTGACTTCAACAAAGCACTGCTGCCCTTCTGCCTTTTTGCTAAAACCCAAAGGCCATCCTCAGATAACATTCTACTTTTTCAATCTTCTCAAACCTTTGTAGGGGCAAAGAATGCCAAAGTCAGCCCATGTATACTCAGTCGTGAAAGTAACTTTGGAAATGATGATCTGCATGAGTGGAAAAGGCAGTTAGATGCCAGTGAGCAAGGTTCTCATGCTCCAGGTGAAATTACGTTCAGGGCTTTTGTGTGTGTAACTGATTGCCTCCCCCTGCCCCCCAACCAATCTACTTTATCCCTTCTTTCTCAGAAAAAGCTTTAAGACCCCGTTTCCCATCAATGATTTCTTTTCTTTCTCTATGGCAAGTGTGGGCCTGGCATAGTCCAAAATGAGCAAGACTTTCAGTTAAGTAGACAGAGTAGCTGTCGTGGGATTAGAGGACTGAGTGTAATTTCAGAGAAGCTGGCAGAGTCTGTTCTCCTCTCAGATACCTCTCCTGGTCCAGAGCATAGGAGATGGGGAAACAGCCAAGGAACAAGAAAGACAAGACACTGAAAACTTGAGAAGAGGGAAGGGCGTCAGCAAGGAGGTGAACTGCACGGAAGGGTGATGTCAACCATCTTGGCCTTTTATACAATTTTAATTAAGGAGCATCTCGGCAAAATGAATCAGTTCAGTCCAGTTCAGTCACCCAGTCGTGTCCGACTCTTTGCGACCCCATGGACTGCAGCATGCCAGGCCTCCCTGTCTATCACCAACTCCCGGAGTTTACTCAAACTCATGTCCATAAAGTCGGTGATGCCATCTAACCATCTCATCCTCTGTCATCCCCTTCTCCTCCCACCTTCAATCTTTCCCAGCATCAGGGTCTTTTCAAGTGAGTCAGCTCTTCACATCAGGCCAAAGTATTGGAGCTTCAGCTTCA